CAATGGCCCACCGTCCCACGAGGAAAACGCGCGCAACGGCGGGCGAACATTGGGCGCGACAGCTGGGGCCACGCAGAGCCAGCGGCTGCACCTCGGCCCTGGCCAGAAAGGATTGACCCCCCCATCAATCCGGCAGCTGAACCGACTCTCCACGAGAGGATGCCGACGTCAGAGATGGCACGCGTCACGCCGCAGAGCTTCAGGAAGAGGGCGCATCGGCAGGTGGGCGAGACGAATGATTCACTGCTAGACGCAGGCGCAGAAGCTCAAGGTAAATTTGGCGCTGGCAGGAGACCCTGGCGCCACGAACAAGCCCGCCGACGCGCGCCGGACACGTTTCGAACAGGGGGGGGGGAAGAGCGAACCTCCTCGCGCTGCAGCTCCACGACAACAGGCAGGCTGGGCAAGATCATCGAGGAGACGCTGGCGGTGAAGGGCCTCGCGCTGCAGGAGATCACCTTCACGGGTGGGGGGCGCGGCAGACAGCGTCGAGAAGAGGGGGGCGCCTGCCGCGCCCCGCGCGGCCCAGAGATAGGGGGGGCGCGGGCGTTGCACGGCTGGCATAAGAAGAACGAGACACCGTGGACCACGCCAGAATGGCGGGAGGCCTTCGGCCAAAATAACGCGCCCACGTGGAAGCCGCCCGGATGGCTGGCCCCCGAGGGGGAGACGCAAGAAGAGACCGCGACGGCGGATATCGAGGAGACGACGCAGGCCTCCCACGCGCTGCGTCCCGAGGGCCATGCGGCGCAGCAGGTGAAAGGATCTGATCCCAGAGTAAAAGCAAGAAGGAGGATAATGAGTACAACGGCGCCGGGCAGATGGAGGTGGACGAAGGCGGCTGCGACGCGGTCAAGAAAGGCGAGGGCCAGGGCGAGCAGCGGGGGGCGCGAGGCAGCAGTGCCCGCGCGCTGCCATAGCCCAGTGCAGTAGGAGACGCAGAGCTGGCATGGCCAACCTGGCCACCGCTGGCGAACGCAGAGGGCCTCGCCAAATGCTGCCGCCAGATTCCTTTTTTCGACTTCCAGAACTAGCCTGGCGAAGGACCCAACCATATGCAGTCGTGAATACCGCAGTCCGACATGTTCAGGAACGCGTTCGCGGCCGTCTTCGCGGGCGCCGACGACGACAAGGGCGGCGCCCCTCCGACCGAGGAGCAGAAGCAGGAGAAGGCTTTGAGAGCCATGAGGGAGGAGGTGGCGTTGCACGCCGACAAGGCGGAGTGCGACGCCCAGGCGCGGTTGCTGAAGCAGCACAACTATGGTGCCACGATCCTCGTGAGGGGTGCGCCGCAATGGCCCGGGGCCGCCGCGCGAACCCTGCCACCGGCGCCTTCGGTGGAGCTCCTGTGGGGCCACGATCCTCGTGAGTGGTGCGCCGAAATGGCCCGAGGCCGCCATGCGAACCTTGCAACTGGAGCATTCGCTGGAGCTCCTACAGGGGCACGATCCTCGCGAGGGGTGTGCCCCATGCGAACCCTGCCACTGGGGCCTTCGGTGGAGCTCCCCATGGGCCACGATCCTCGTGAGGAGTGTGCCGGAACCGCCCTGCGAACCCTGCGGGTGGCGCCTTTGGTGGAGCTCCTGTGGGGCCACGGGCCACGATCCTCGTGAGGGGTCGTGAACGGTGTGCCGACATGGCCCGAGGCCGCCATGCGAACCCTGCCACTGGAGCGATCGGTGGAGCTCCCTATGGGGCCACGATCCTTGTGAGGGAAGTGCCGGAATGGCCCGAGGCCGCCATGCGATCCCTGCCATTGGGGCCTTCGGTGGAGCTCCCTATGGGGCCACGAAGCGCTGTGCTGGGTGGGTGAAACGCAGGGAGGGGGGAGGAGGAGAGGAGGAGGAGGAGGAGGAGGAGGAGGAGGAGGAGGAGGAGGAGGAGGAGGAACGCGGGGCACCTTTTCTTCAAAACGAGGACCCAACACCACAGGATGGTTGGGAAAAAGACATGGGAAAACACCAACTGGGGCAACTGCGTGGCCGCGACGGGAGGCGTCGATTGCAGCGCGGGGTGCGACGCGGCGAAAGCAAACACTGCGGCAACTACGAGGCCACGACGGGAGGCAACAATGCAGGGGGGGAGCGCACGGGAGAACAGGACGGCCAGGCGAACGCGATTATTACTATGTTGTGCTTGGGCGTCTTGACGGCGGGGGGAAATACCAGCGTGACGTACCGAGGGAGCCACGGGGCCCCCGTTTCGCCCTCTACAAACAGTCGGACCAACTGGGATTTTCAGAGCCCTCGGACCCCGAGGAAGACCACTTCCTACACTGAGGCCGTGGGGTGCTCAGAGCTGCAGGCTGATAGCCGCCAAGATCACACCTGTCTCCGTACGCGTGTCGGGGGTTGTTGACAGGTTGGGGCTAGAAGGGAGATCCAGGGGAGGACGCCGCAGCGTCTGAGAGAGAGGGGCCCAACGGCCGCTATTGCTGAGGAAACGGGGCAGGCGCAGATCAGGGCCACTGTGAAGTCAACGGAACCAGTTTCGAGTGAACCGAGAACCCATGTAACCTGCATGTGGCGACGGCTGCAGGAACAGATAATCCAATTGATGGTAGCCCCGAGAGTGACTGCGCATCAGGCCCAGCTAACCGTGATCTCGTTGCCGGCAAAAGCAAGCTGCTACAGTCAGAGGTAAATCTCTTTCCGAAAGTCCCAGGACAAACTAGCAGAGGCGTCTGGGATCGTGGCGCTCGTAGGTGAGGAGATCAGAGGCTGGCCACTCCAACAGGATTGAACGAGAGGGAGGGCAGTGCACCAGACGACACCTGCGGCGCGGGGTTCGAAGGAGGCCGCTTCTGTACGCAGCTGTCGAGGGAAAAGGGAACAGAGGAGGAACCGCCGAGTACGTGTGCCGGGACAGGAAGGGCAGTGCATCGGACCTCGGCTACAGCAAGGACGTTACAGTCCGACCGACCCTGCGCCGAGAAAAATATGACGACTACTGGGTGGGGGGAGGGCGCTGTTCAGATCGACTACAACTAACCACCGACACAGCGACGCGCAACGAGAGAAGCGAACAGTAGCTGAAGGGAAGTAGTGGGTGTTCTATGATGTGGGTGGGTTTCTCTGACTCGATTTGCGCGAGTGGGGAGGGGTGCGCGCCGAGTATGCCTGCGGCCCCGTCCTTTTTTCATGTGACTCGCGCTTGCGTGTCGGAGTGTCCCTCCGCGGATGCGTCGGCAGCCGGTAGTCGAACGCTGCTCCGGGCAGGCAAGCCCTCAAAGATGTGAGGGCCTTGCATGTATAGATTGCCCCACGCAGGGGCCGGTCTTCTGCTCCTAATTTGTAGGTCTTGAGACACCCCAAGCACCCTTACCTTACCTCCGCCTCCTCCGCCCTCCTCCATCACGTTCCTATTCCATCCTCCATCCTCAAAAACCTCCTCTTCGGTCGTCGTCGTCCTCCTCCTCCTCCTCCTCCTCCTCGTCTCCCCCTCTCCTCTTCCATCCTCCTCATCGTCCTCCTCCCCCTTGCTCTCCTCCCTTCTCCTGCTCCTCCCTCCTCCACCATGCTCCTCCTATATCGTCTCCATCCTCTACCCTCCTCCTCCAACCTTCTCTTTGTGCTCCTCCTCTTCCTACACTTCGTCCTCGTCCTCCTCCTCGTCGTCCTCCTCCTCCTTGTCCTCCTCCTCCTCCTACTCCTCCTCGTCCTCCTCCTCTTCCTCCTCGTCCTCCTCTTCGTCCTCATCCTTTTTCTTCTCGCCCTCCTCTTCGTCCTCCTCTTCCTTCTCCCCCTGTTCCTCCTGCTCCTCGTCCTCCTCCTCCTCCTCTTCCACCTCCTTTCCTTCCTCTTTTCTCCTTACCCGGGGCGCAGTCCGACGGGTCCGGGCAATTCCAAGGTCGCGGCCTCTCCGCCCTCCATCCCCGCCCGCTTCCAGCGTGCAGCTTGTTGACAGTCTCTCTCTCTCTCTCTCTCTGCCCTGGAACATCGGCAGGCGCATAATAGCGGCAGCGCCTGCGAGCGCACGTCGTTCCATGTGGGCACGCAGTCACGCAAGCCCTCGCTTGAGCCAGACCCTCGCCCCCTCCTGGCGATTGGTGCCGAGGACAGGGGGTCCAGTGAGGCAGCAGGGTTGGGGCCAGCCCTGTCCGCGGAAGCCCCTGTTCCGAAGGGTGGGCAGGGGGGGGGGGGGGGGGGGGGGGGGGCGACTCTCCGATCTGGGCGGCGCAGGGAACTCGCGACGGCCAGTGCTTTTCATTCTCGGCCTCTGGGATCAGTGTTTTTTTCTGGCCCCGGGACATTGATAAAAACGTTTCGGGGTGATCTAGGCATCTCGGATGGCGTTTGAGTAGATGGGTCACAAGATCGCTTCGCATCGCCGATGCATCGGCGATGCGACTCGATGTGGATTCCCTTTTGATTCACGTCGATGTCGCCGATGCGTCGCCGACGTCGGCGATGAATCGCCGATGCATCGCCGACGTATCGTCGATGCGGCGCGATCCCCCGAGTCCATTTACTCGGGCCCCATTTGGCAGGCCTTTGGATGTGAATGCAGCCCTAGGGACCCTGGGAGGCGCTCGAGGCCTTGGGGGCCGACTTCGCGAAAGAGGTGCAGGATCGGAGGAGGGGGGGAGGTTGCTTGGCCAGCCTGCTCTTCACCGACCCCGCTTTCGGAACCCTCCTGGGGAGGAGACGGAGGGCGGAGACGGCGATCCTAGACATTTTTGGTTGTCGGCAGCCACTTGGGCCCAAGCAGCGGTAGGGCAACGGTGGGACGCAACGAAGCAAGTCAGGGGACAAACGCGGC